CTAATCTGGGAGAACCGGGTTTGATCCCCCACTCCTCCACATGCAGCTGCTGATGTGATCTTGGGTCAGTCACAAGTTCTTTCAGAGCTGTTCTCTCAAGGGCAGTTCCTGAAAGAGCTCATACAGCCCCACCTATTTCACAGGGTGTCTGTTGTGGGGAAGGGAAGGGAAAGGAGATTGTAAGCCACTCTGAGACTCCTTTGGGTAGTGAAGAGTGGGGCATAAATCCGATCTCTTCTCTTCTCTCTCTTAAAAAAGATCAGGTAATAGGTGATGTGAAGGACTTCTGCCTGGCCTACGATCTACATATTATAGTTTGTAATGAGGCAGGTCCAAGTTTCATGGACTCTACTCATTTTTCTGCAACCACACAGCAGGTCTGCAAGAACAATATTTTACAGATTCAGAGGGGCAGGATTTGACTCAGAATCATGGCATGCCTCCCCCCGTGCCATAGTCTGTATCCCCTCCCCTTGTGGAGAAGTGCCTTCCCCCTTATATCTCTATGAGGAAATGGAAAATAGACATACCTTTTTTTAAAAGATGAATGCTGGAAATTCAGAGAATCTGCTTAATACAACAGTATATTGATACATTGATATTCTAGAGCTTTTTAAAAAAAACACATGAAACCATTCATCTTCAAGGTGGGGCAAGAGAGGGGGTGGTTAGGAGCACGGACTCTAATCTAGGAGAACTGGGTTTGATCCCCCACTCCTCCACATGCAGCTGCTGATGTGATCTTGGGTCAGTCACAAGTTCTTTCAGAGCTGTTCTCTCAAGGGCAGTTCCTGAAAGAGCTCATACAGCCCCACCTATTTCACAGGGTGTCTGTTGTGGGGAAGGGAAGGGAAAGGAGATTGTAAGCCACTCTGAGACTCCTTTGGGTAGTGAAGAGTGGGGTATAAATCCGATCTCATCTCTTCTCTCTCGTAAAAAAGATCAGGTAATAGGTGATGTGAAGGACTTCTGCCTGACCTACGATCTACATATTATAGTTTGTAATGAGGCAGGTCCAAGTTTCATGGACTCTACTCATTTTTCTGCAACCACACAGCAGGTCTGCAAGAACAATATTTTACAGATTCAGAGGGGCAGGATTTGACTCAGAATCATGGCATGCCTCCCCCCGTGCCATTTTCCTAAGCAAATATTGCCTCAGAAAAAGCTGCAAAATGGAACATGTAGTTTGGACCTGAGACTCTGGAGAACTGCTGCTAATCAGAGAAGACAACACTGACCTTGACAGATAAATGGTCTGACTTATTATAAGGCAGCTTCATGTGTTCATGAAGATGTGGAAATGGATGAAGAACACTCAGTACTTTACAGTCTGTGGGATGCCTACTGCTGCCTTTCCAAGAATGTAACATTACAAAATAGGTAGTGCAAATATAGTGCCAATCCATGGCTGGGGTAATGCACATTTGACAGTATTTATAAAGAAACCATGGAGGGGATAAACAAGCTGTTTTTGCATCTGGACTTTGTGTATTTCCTTTAAGCAACTTGTTTTCCCCCAAAAAAATAACATTGCAAGTAAAACAACAGGGCTTGCATAGCTACACTCTGATTTTCTTTGAAGATCTAAAGCCATGCGTTGACAGAACATCTTCAGAAATGAATGGCAAACATAAAACTGTTGTGTTACTGCAGATGTAGCTAGACTTCAGTAACCACAACACAAACAACATTTCAATTTTTATTTCAAGCAGTGTGTTTGAAGCACAGGGAGTGACAGACACATGTAATTCCTTGTCCATTTGTTTGTAAAAAAAATCTTCTTTCCCCTTTGGGTGCTATTTTTAATGCACGACTACTTCTTTCCTTTCCTACAAGCTATTGGTTTGTTGGCGTGTGAACGAGAGAAGAGCAAAGGTTAGGCTCTGAAGTGTCAGCAGAAATATGAGCCTTGTGGAGTAATTTGCAAAGCCTTCCCTATAAACACACTCATAAATATAAATTTGCATCTGTTCATAGACTGTAAAGGGACAAAAGCCCCTTTTACAAAGGAAGGGCTTTCATACTAGAATGTGATAAATATCTAATTAATTCAGTTAAATGGCTATTATCCAAGAGCAGCATTAGTGCACTAAGCAATTTCAGAGGAAATGTCACACAGAGAAACCAATGCCTGATTTCAGATCCTTTGGTTAAATGCCAAGTTCTCAATGCAAAGTGTTGGTCACAACCAAGTTCAACTGAAAGCAGTGGGACTTGTTAGTTCATAGTAATTTCCCCTATTCAGTTCTATGGGACTTCAGTCCATCTAATGAAATTGGGCCCGGAAATATTACTGTGTGAAAAGATCATGCTGAGTAAATGCCATAATGTTATTAGTTTCTCCTGTTGTTTCATCTGGCAAAGTTACAGCATGCTAGGCAATCTGTGTTCTGACTAGCTAGATAGTAGAAATGTGAATATTGCTACAGAACAATAATATTCCAGGCAAATTTACCCTATTCACTTGTGCTTGTCTCCTGCTCATGGGAATCATTCATGTAATTCTGAATCTGGTCCCATTGTGGATCAAACCCCCCAGTGGATGGGGTCACACATGTGTAGGCCATATTTTTCTACAGATCTCGTGAGACTCCCTGGGTTATATAATGTGTGTGTTATATATATATAAATATATATAATATATATAAAAATATGTGTGTGTGTTTTGAAGAAAAGAACACAATTTTGCAACACTATTATAGTGTATTGGCATCCTTGGGTTGCTGTACACATAGCGTGGGAGTTTAGCCTTAATTCATTTGATTTCACACTCCACGCCCTAGCTTTCATCTGGGTGTTAGTTTGTTACAGCTGCAGCTATTGAGATGTGCTATTTGTGTTTTATGGAACTATAATAAATCTTCTATCATTTTCGAGTGGACTCTCTTTGCCGAGGACATAACAACTGGTGACAAGGATGGGATGCATGAGGAATGTAATTTTTTTCCCTTGTGGAGGAGTTAAGTAAATATAGAAGAATTGGACTGACATACTGCATGAACTGTCTGGAATTATTTTAAAAAGATCTTCAGGTCAGTCATCAATTTGGGGGCATGGCAACTCAAGGACATACTGAAGAGTTTAATCCCAGTTGTCCTAGCAAGTGGGAAAGTTATGCAGCAAGGATGGAATTTTACTTAATTGCTAATGGCATTACAGCACCAGCGAGGAAAAGGGCCATGTTACTCAGCGTGTGTGGAGCAGATACGTTTGAATTAGCCCAGGCCTTGTTGGCTCCAAATAAACTTGCTGAGACGTCTTATGAGAATATCTTGAGTGCCCTAGGAGAATATGGTGCATGGCATGAACTGGGGAAACATGGTTCAGTTCATGGTGCATGGCATACCCGGTTCACAAACCAAAGAGCATCACAATTTTTTTGGTGCTAAAAAACCGTGTGGTTCATGATGTGGTAGAACAGCCCTCCCCCCAGCATGCTAGAGGCACTAAACTTGCAGGGAATCTCCATCTGACTCTCCTCTACCTGCCCTCCAAGTTTGGTAATGACTGAATTTATGGGTTCTGAATTACAATCCCCCAAAGAAGGTGAACCCAGGAAAGTGCTTTCTGAGGAAATGACAAGTGCAGGTTCATGAGGTTCAGGTGTGTATAGAATAGATCCTTTGCAAACTAGAGACACCAAACTCACAGTAGACCTCCGACTGACTCTCCTCTACATGCCCTACATGTTATGCACAGATTGGATTTACAGGGTCTGAGGTACAGCCACCCCAAGAAGATTCCCCAATCCTCCATTGTTTCCAATGGAGGGAAAAACAACAAAAAAGAAAGGGGAATAGAAGCCCTGCAGAACACAATCAAAGTTCCAGAGAATTCCTGCAGTGAACACTGAGAGGGGGGGGGCATTTTTGCAAGCTCAGCAGAACCAGTGCAATGTGCCTAACAGAACCAGTGACACTGCAAATCCAACAGGACTAAGGACAAGCCAGGAAAGTGCTTTTGGGGAAAATGTCAGGCACAGATTCAAAAGTGTATAGAATGGATCCTCTGCACACACCAAAAACACAAGGAAGCTCACTCTGCCACCCACTCCTGTACAATCTCTCCAAGATGGGGGCAGATTGCATTTCTGGGATTCAAATTATGGACCGCCCAAAAAAATTCACCCCAGCTCTCTCTGGAATAGACAGCTGCAGTTACAGGAGTCTATGGAACAGCTCAGGAACAAGCCAGTGACATCAAACTCACAGGGAGACTTCACCTGGGCAGACCCCCCCTCCAGCCAGATACTGAATGCACGGCAAGCATCCTCCCATGCTCCCCCCCCAAGTCTCTAAAGGCAGACTTGGAACAACAGAAAGGCAGACATGACACCACTTCCAACAAGGGCTCCCCAAACTAACCCCAAAACAGCTTGACGGGCACCCCAGCCCCAGCAAACAAGCAGGGAAAGTGTGCCCACAAATTTCAAAGCTTCCCTCCCCAGGCTAAAACACACTGGTCTGGAGCACACCCATCAACCATGGTGAATTCTTCCACTGTGCCAAGGAATGGAAACACATGTCAAGCTGGCCAAGCCAGCTCTGAAGTCTACAAAGGCAGGTTCAGAACAGAAAGACAGACTTCCCCAGAGTTCTGACAGTGGCTCCCCAAAGTATTCCCAGGACAGTCTAAGATGGGTAGCCACGTTTGTCTGTAGCAGTAGAAAAGAGCAAGAGCACCCAGGACAGCTTGGCAGGCACCACGACATGTATTATATACTTTCCCAATGAATAGTATGCTATACAGAATATATTATATAATTATAGAAAGTATTAATTTTGCACATTATATACAGACAAAGTCTACAGAACAGCAAACTCCCCCCCAAATTTCAGTAAGCTGTATTTCCAACTTCAGTGACAGCAGAGATAGGCTTAGCGTTACCTTTGAAATTCATCCTAATCTTTCAATGAATTTAAAATCCTTCTTAGTTCCAGTTTGATGGACTTGGAGGACAAACTCTCACTTTTATTTTAAAAGAAGTAAAAAGATACCTTGGTGTTTGTCACTTGGAATGGAACTTTTGAACCATTTGTAACGGAGGATGTCTGTCTCTCAGTTGGTCTTGAAGGAATTATATTTGTAGTGGAAGGCTGATTGTGCAATACTGAAGACAGGCAGAGATGTACTGTGTCCTTCAGAGCTTTCAACTGTGACTCCTGCGGGGAAAATGTTATTTGATCATAAAGACAGATTACAGAGTATAATATTTTAATGTGCACCTTTCACTTTCATGTTCTTTACAGTTTTCAACAAATGACAACCAAAAATAGCATACATTAGTGAACAGGTGCACAAGTGAAAGTAGTATCTATTTGCCTAAAAGGAAGACTAGACCCCCCTCCCATATGCCATTAAGAAATAAAAAACTAATTCAAATTTACACATATGTCACAGTTATCTACAGGGGGGTGAGAAAATGTTTTTATATTATCTTTTTTAGAAATATCATCTTACATTCAGGGTCATTTTCCTTCTGGGCGAATATGGGTAAATGAGTACAGGATGCAGTATCATCCTGGTTCTTGTATAGGAAAAAACACCATTTCCTAGAACCACCCAGACTATAGAAATACCAGATAGGTAAAGGTAAAGGTTCCTTTGCTCGAAAGCCAGTCGAATCCAAATCTAGGGTTGCGGTGCTCATCTCCGTTTCAAAGCCGAAGAGCCAATGCTGTCCGAAGACGTTTCCATGGTCATGTGGCCGGCATGACTAAACATCAAGGTGCATGGAATGCTGTTACCTTCCCACTGAAGTGGTATTTATTTATCTACTTGCAATTTCTTGCTTTCGAACTGCTAGGTTGGCAGGAGCTGGAACTAGAGACGGGAGCTCACTCCGTCATGCGGCACACTCGGGTCTCGAACTGCTGAACTACCGACCTTCCACAGCCTGCAGTTCAGCATCTTAACCACTTGAGCCACCGCAGCTCCATTTACACTGTATAGAATACTTATTAACTGAGTTCTCTGAAAGGAACATTCAAAGCAGCTTACCACTGGATCAAAATAAAACATAAAAATATAACATAAAATCCACTATAATCAATTAATAATATCAATAAAAGTCAATAAATGTAGAAAAGTGAAACAGAAATATAAAAAACACAATAAAACTATACTGTAAAAGCATCCAAAGAGTTATACCTGCCAATGTCAACACAGGAGTCCCATGTAACTATGGGTCATCCACACATTATGGATCATCCATGCAAGACAGAAATATTCAGCTGTGTTAATTCCCTTTCAGAAAAATTCTGATACAGAAAAATACAGTTTCCCCCCCTTTAAAATTAAGATGATTCAAAGAGTTGAAAGAATAACATATAATGCTTCAATCTGCTTCAAATTCTGTCCTTAATTTATGCACTGTGTCACTGGCATTGTGCCTAAGGTTGCATTATAAACAACCATGTGCATATGTGGAAGAAAGGGTGCACATATCAAAAACTGTTTTAGGTTTTTGTTTTTTTGTTTTTTTACTGCTGACAATCTGTCAACCAAGTCATTTTTAAACAGACAATTTTAAAACAGTATGTTAATAAATATTTCTTATGCTCATTAGTTCTGTCTTCTCCTCATACTGTCTAGGGTTGAAAATACACATTTTTTTAAAAAAAACTGAGATTTTGCTCAGAATGACCATTTTTTCTCCTCTAGTTCTGTAAAATGTAGTTTAACTTCTGCCCAGAAGGCATTGCACCGTCTCTGCTCTGACTGCCACTAAAGAAACTAGGGAAAGGGCCAGTGATGCAAGATAAAGTTAACTAGATATTATAGAGGATGATAATCTGTGTTAGGCATGATTCCTAATATTTCTCAGATGCCACATTTGCTTGACATTACTGAAATTGTAGAATCCCTCTCCTGAGACCCTGCTTGACTTGACTAACTCATCCTTGCAGGACCAGAGCACATAAAGCAGAATACTAAGTCACTTGAGGCAGTCCAATGTCTTTCTGTCTTTGCTACAGGCAACCAGGAGGCCCTTCAACAACCATTGAGGAAACCTTGCCACACAGACTAGCAGATAGTCCTACTGTGGAAGCAGAGGCTAGTAAGGAGCCAGATTTGTGTCTCTATCTGCCATCTTTGTCCTTCAGTACTCCTATAACTTTCTAGGATGCATGCCAGATATAAGACATGCAGTATGGGGATACAATGGAGTTTTACCTGTTAGTATGCTGTCTACTACAAAATTGTCAAGACACAAGCACTCTAGAACATAAAGGTTGGCATGCTAATCCTGTGTTGCCTGCCAAACCCCTATCACCTCCAGTTTTGATCAATAAACAATATGATTGTTTCAGGGATGTATCTTATCTCTTCAGAGTTACTGGAAACATCTTTTTTGCACCCCCAAAATCCTCCAGCTTGCAGAAGTCAGAAACCTGGATGAAATCCTGCATTTTGGTACTAAATGCAGGGTCTCTAAATTAAGGCAGAAATTCCCATTGGTACTTTCTCTGAGTTAATTCATTTTGGACTAGCCATGTGAGATGAACATAATTTGGACTACAAGCAACTTTGAGTATTCATCTCAAAATGATACAACCAAACATCAGGACTCAGTTGTTGTATATACACTGCACGCAGGGCTCTTTTTGTAGCAGGAGGTCCTTTGCATATTAGGCGACACACCCCTAATTTAGCCAATCCTCCAAGAGCTTACAGTAGCCCCTGTAAGAAGAACTCTGAAAGCTCTTGGAGGACTGGCTACATTAGGGGTATGTCACCTAATATGCAAAGGAGTTCCTGCTACAAACACAGCCCTGCACTGCAGTATTATTAGTGCAATTGCTCACTGTTTTGTACTTCTGTCTTCATTCTCCACTTTCTACTCTGTATCTTGGATAGGCCAATAAATATCCTTGGTGGTTAAGTGCTTGTTTCCCTTCCACGTTCTCATCTCAAGGATTTATTGTGCCAAATCAGGACCTGTATATACAACAAATCCTTTTTGGCCCTGGAACACATGTTCTGTTTCACCATGTGTAGGGCATTCTAAATGTGGCAACCCTGACAATCCAAGTAAACTTTCAGTGGTGGTTTCTCTGTTCCTTGTATGTGTGATTCTGTCCCTTGCAAGAAAGAGTATATCACACATATGGGGACCAATATGTGTTTTGATTTGTTTCTGTACAGAAGTGTTGTTCCTACAGCAGGACCTGAACCCCATCTCCTGAAGAACCATGTACCATGGGTATTGTGACAGGAATGGCAGCCCATTTTCTCTATGTAGCCCTATCTGTTTTTTGGAGTGGTGGGAGGGGTGAAGTCTTGCAAAAATGTTGTCACCAGCTGTTGCAATCTTTAGAATTAATGACTAAAGGTATTCGTTTCCAACTTCTCATTCAATATGTTTCCTTTCCCACTTGGAAGAAGAAGAAGAGATTGGATTTATACCCCGCCCTTCACTACTCAAGGGAGTCTCAGAGCGGCTTACAGACTCCTTTCCCTTCCCCTCCCCGCAGCAGACACCCTGTGAGGTGGGTGGGGCTGAGAGAACTCTAACAGAAACTGCTCTTTTTCAAGAACAACTGTGCCAGAGCTTGTGACTGACCCAAGGTCACCCAGCCAGGTGCAAGTGGAGGAGTAAGGAATCAAACCTGGTTCTCCCAGATTAGAGTCTGCACACTTAACCACTACACCAAACTGGCTCTCAACACCAAACTGGCTCTCACACCAAACTGGCTCTTGGAATATGTATCCAACCTTCTCCCAACAACCTATTTGTGTGTTATGTGTATGTTGTACTGGGAAAGTTCTGAGACCATCTAGCTATACCCAGATACCTTCATTGTATGGATACTGTGAGAGTGTCATTAGAAAATGGATGCATTATTGGTGAACAGTGGTGAAGTTCCAGATGCTATTGACATAGCTGTCTGTGCTGCTGTGTTGTCTTTTCTGTTGTGATGGTGACACCTCTGTTGCTGGTTTATTATAGGATGGTGATTATGTTTTGCTGATATTAGTGGCTACCAAGTAGAACAGGAACATGGGATTAGGCTGCCCATTTTAAATTTTAAAGTGTATTCAAATCTCAAGCAGATTTTCATACAGGGCACACTTGGGACATTTTTGTAATTTTTCACTATTCTACCTCTACTACTATGCTATATTGTTCCATTTCCAGGCCCCCCCCCAGTTTGTTAAAATGCTAATTGCCCCTCACTGAGCATTGAAGGAGGGGGGGAGGGGGAAGAATGACTCTTCTTCATCATCCTCAAAGAACACATGCCAAATGATTATACCATTGCACTGACAGAATGGTCCTCAACTCCAGTAAGAATACTCATTATTACTAAAAGTCAAGTATGTCTATATTTTTATAGGAATAAGATTGTCTGCTGTCATATGAGGCTGCAATAGCTATTAACAGAGCTCAAAGATGTGCACAGAGGAATGCTTACTTTGTCCAGAGAAGCCTTTTCCAGTTCTTCTTTTGCAATTGCTAGTTTTTGCTCCAGATCTGTAAGCTGCTGTGCCTGTGGGAAATTTAAAAACAAATTAGCTTGTAAAAATTATATCTCCATTTTTTTTGCCCAGTAAACTTGTATAATGTAAGAAAAAATAAGGGTTTTACTTTGGGAGAACAATAAATGATATAAAAATAGATCAAAGTTTGAGTCCAGTGGAACCTTTAAGACCAACAATTTTTTATTCAAGATATAAGTTTTTGTGTGCACGCACACTTTTTACAGTGAAACAGGACTGCCTCAGGCATTACATATAGGTAGGGGGTTAGTTGCCAGGAAGTTAGAGTCAAGATGCATAAGTAACTGGGCAATTATAGCTGATATTGGATTAAAGTGGTTGGTAAAAACTATAAATAGCAGTAAATTAGCATACAAATACAAGAGATAACATACTGATGTGGGAACTAAGTTTGAGTACAGTGGCATATCTAAGACCAACAAAGTTCAGATCTGGGTATAAGCAAGAACTGGGAGGCTTAGCATGTGTATATCCATACTTTTTCAGAAACATTGTAACAAATTTCCTTTAATGTTACATATAGGTGGGGGAGGTTGCTAGGAAGGGCTAATTGGAGTCAAGATGCATAAGTAACTGAGCAATAAATACAGCTAAGATTGGAATAACACATTTGGTAAGACCAGTGCATAGCAGCAAAATTGGCATACAGATAATAAAAGAGTTAACAACAGATGTGAGAACAAGGAAGACTGTAATTCATGAAAATGGGTGAAACAGGAGTTTGTGCGATGGGGTTTTTCCAACAACATCCAGATATCAAGGTGTGATGGACTGCACTTTAAAATCTTATAAGTGCTGTGTAAACAAGTAATGGACTGTGAAGGGTTAATTTCTTACAGAGCCAGAGAGCCTTGAGTGACAGGCTGCTCAAAGAGATCTGATTGGTTAGCATCAGATGAGTAAAGAAAGACTTGAATGAATTTCTCCTCACCATTCAGCTCACAAGTCTTTCTTTGCTCATCTGATGTTAACCAATCAGATCTCTTGGAGCTTTCAGACAATGATACAGATGCTACTATTTTAACCTTTTCATGCACAGACTTCTGGAAACTCACTTGGAGGTTTCATTCAAACAAGTTGCCTAACCTCATAGCCCAGATGACTACTCCTGCAGTAGTGTAGCCATCTGTAGTTCATGTCCCCATAAAATGAAAAATAAAAGACTGGAGAAGTTGAAATCAATGTAGGAGGGTAATGTGTGGTGCGTTGATGGAGCACCATCCAATTTTGTTTTTAAAAATACATCATTTGTAGCCTGCTTTTCTTGCTCAGACTCAAGGTAGATTACAGAATTCACAGTATCCAGGCAGATAATTCCACTTAACAGCACCATACGTCTATGACTATAGAACTAAACAAAAATGCAAACAGAAAGTAAATGATGGTTACCATGCCATTACTGATTTATTTGTTTTATTGGATTTCTATCCTGCCCTCCCCACAAGCGTACTCAGGGCAGATCACAACAGTTAAAATACAATTTCCAGTACCAAGGGCACCTCTGGTGCTGGGCCTATGTTGACAAAAATAAGGACCCACTCAGGAGATGCCATAGTGATCTCTACAATGGGCAGTTCACCTGGGCAGTATAGGCAGGCTTTCCTGACACTGGAGGAAGTAGAACTGTGCCAGATATTGGGGATGATAATCACTGTTTAACAGGAACTTTCATTCTACAACACGTGGGCAGAAATTCAAGCAGTGATAAAGCTTTCTTGGGCCACCTGTCCAGGGCAATGTCATTATGTCAACAATGACCATGCAACCCTTGTGCTGTAAACAAGCCCATCTGGGAAAGCCCGCACAAACTGTTCATGGTCTTAAAATTAAAATAATTTCTTATAATGGAACCACTAAAATTATGGCTAGTATAATTGTCCCATTTGAACACGTAAGTGGCTCTGAGGTTACTTCTGGTTGTTTATACAGACGAAGGGGGGAAAGGACACTGGACCAGATGGTTATCTCTGCTATAAGAATTTTTAATGAGGCATTGAATATTTTTTTGCATATGAATTGCTCTACGAGGTTTTAGCTCATAAGTCATAAAGGACACAACATTTAGCGATCTTGGCTAAACATTTCCAAGCACATAGTTGCAAGAGTTTATAGCTTATTTTTCCCAGAGATGCCACCATCCAGATGTCTTACTTCCATATCTTTCCTTACAGTGCTATGGGAAAGTGCATTTTCAGCCACTCGGTCATTAATATGTGGCTTTGGACAGGTGGATGCTTTACTAGTTGGATGGCATGAAATGAAAGAATGACATGGACGGAATTAAGAAATTATGCTAAATATATTAAATGCCTAACCTAAACTGACCAAAATCACGTCACTGCAAAAGCACACTTGGGCTTAATCATACTTCTAACACCAACAAGGAAAGAAAATTAGCAAGCTTCAAAAAAAGTTGGCTGGATTTTAATATTGTAAGGCTTTAATCTGCTTAAATTCTTCTGAATTGCTTACAGGCATGCAGCCTGGGGAGGGGGGGGGTTGACTGAAAGTGTGGACAGAATATCAGACTCAGCTGTAGGAGACCCAGGTTCAAATCCTTGTTCGGGCAACTTCAATAAATAATAATTATGGATTTTTATATATGATCAAAGAAAGCATTCCTAAATTGGCTGCCACCATTGTGGGGGGCCCTCCCCCCTGCGTCAGGGCTCGGATCCCCCCTCCGCAGCCTCAGGACTGACTGCCCCACCAGCCTAGCTCCTGCTTGCCGCCTCCTCCACAGCTTCCACCACCGCCTTCATGGGCCAGTGCTTTGTGTGGACGAGGCCGGCACTGAGACACCGCACTGGAGATCTTCTGGCTCTGCACGAGGAACTGCTGACACAGGGCAAGGACTGGCAGTCCACCCTGTAAGGAGGAGCCAGTGGCCGCTCAGACAGGGCAGGGGGTGACTTGCCGGGAAACTGGGTGGCTGGGGAGGGTGCCAGTGGTAGGGAGCCTGGCCCACTGCCCTTGATGACTGTGGGGAGGGGGAGGTCCTTGGATTCGCTGGCACAAACGGGCCACGCCATCTCCACACAGGTACTGCTTCCTTGCCAGGGAAGGGACTCCTGGAGATGGAGGCTCCTTGGGCCAGAAGGGGAGCCTGGCTAGTGCTCCCTCTCGGCCCCTGTGCCCCCTCACCTGCCTGTGCTTCTCCACAGGGTTGGTAAGAACACTGGCAGCTGCTGCAGGAATCATGGACAGCTCAGCCCCTTGATCCTCCCCCTGGGGCTCTTCTTGAGCTGGCTGCCCCCATTGTGGGGGGCCCTTCCCCCGGCTCAGGGCTCGGATCCCCCCTCCACGGCCTCAGGACTGCCCGCCCTGCCAACCTAGCCCCTGCTTGCCTCCTCCTCCACAACTTCCACCACCGCCTTCATGGGCCAGTGCTTCGTGTGGACGAGGCCGGCACTGAGACACAGCACTGGAGATCTTTTGGCTGCTGCACGAGGAACTGCTGACACAGGGCAAGGACTGGCAGTCCACCCTGTAAGGAGGAGCCAGTGGCCGCTCAGACAGGGCAGGGGGTGACTTGCCGGGAAACTGGGTGGCTGGGGAGGGTGCCAGTGGTAGGGAGCCTGGCCCACTGCCCTTGATGACTGTGGGGAGGGGGAGGTCCTTGGATTCGCTGGCACAAACGGGCCACGCCATCTCCACACAGGTACTGCTTCCTTGCCAGGGAAGGGACTCCTGGAGATGGAGGCTCCTTGGGCCAGAAGGGGAGCCTGGCTAGTGCTCCCTCTCGGCCCCTGTGCCCCCTCACCTGCCTGTGCTTCTCCACAGGGTTGGTAAGAACACTGGCAGCTGCTGCAGGAATCATGGACAGCTCAGCCCCACTCCTGCCATCACCTGTTTGGGCCCCCACTCTGCCCGCAGATCTCATGGCAGGGCCATGGAGGGGGGAGTGCCTTGGTGGTTCCCGTGAAGAGCCCCAGGCTTGCCGGGGGGCAGCAGATCTGGCCCAGCCCCCCCTGGGAAATTGGAAAGTCTACGCCCTTGCAGTGGCGAGTATCATCACAATAAATAATCCCTCTGCATTCCAATGCAGGAAGGAACGGCACTCAGCCTTTAAAGAGGAGCTGAAGCTGTCCAATGGCTTTTCCGAACTTCCAGTTTCAAAAGCATCAGGTTTCATGGAAAAGTCTGGAAAGACACCTTGACAAATCCTGCTAAGGAGCTCCGACTGGGTGGCTGGGGAGGGAGCCAGTGGTAGGGAGCCTGGTCCACCGCCCTTGACGACTGTGGGGAGGGGGGGTCCTTGGATTTACTGGCACAAATGGGCCACGCCATCTCCACACAGGTGCTGCTTCCTTGCCAGGGAAGGGACTCCTGGAGATGGAGGCTCCTTGGGCCAGAAGGGGAGCCTGGCTAGTGCTCCCTCTCGGCCCCTGTGCCCCCTCACCTGCCTGTGCTTCTCCACAGGGTTGGTAAGAACACTGGCAGCTGCTGCAGGAATCATGGACAGCTCAGCCCCACTCCTGCCATCACCTGTTTGGGCCCCCACTCTGCCCGCAGATCTCATGGCAGGGCCATGGAGGGGGGAGTGCCTTGGTGGTTCCCGTGAAGAGCCCCAGGCTTGCCGGGGGGCAGCAGATCTGGCCCAGCCCCCCCTGGGAAATTGGAAAGTCTACGCCCTTGCAGTGGCGAGTATCATCACAATAAATAATCCCTCTGCATTCCAATGCAGGAAGGAACGGCACTCAGCCTTTAAAGAGGAGCTGAAGCTGTCCAATGGCTTTTCCGAACTTCCAGTTTCAAAAGCATCAGGTTTCATGGAAAAGTCTGGAAAGACACCTTGACAAATCCTGCTAAGGAGCTCCTGTGGACTAGTAGCAGATATGAACCGATGAAAGATGTACTGTCCAGACTTTGCCTGCAGTAGTTTTGTGTCACACCCTTTTGTCAACAATAACATTAATAATGTTAGAAAAACTTGAAAGGGTTACAAAATGTCTCATGTAGGTATGAAAATGTACCATCACTGATCACC